TGAACACTCGGTTTAGCTGCTGCTCCCCTGAACAGGAGTAGTGTGTGTAAGCCTCATGCATATGCCTCACACCAGAGCAGCGGGTGTGCTGTTCCTGTATTGATATGATTTTGTGTTCTTTCCCTTTAGATTAGAATATGTAAAGCTCTCAGTACGGTAATTGAGAAAGGTAAGAGTTTGCAGGCTGCATGGCTGGCATCATTGCTAGACTTACTAACCATCTCTCTTCTGTTGCTGCTATCAAACTGAAACAGCTCCTGGTCTTGGGGTCTCTGTCTCGCACTTCTGTCCCTGTTGCCTTCATCCCCAGCCTCTTTCACTCGACCAAACATGAATTACAAGCTCTGTGCTGGAGGCAAGTGGCCTTGCCTGTGCCCACCTGACTCGGCTGTGGCACTAAGAGCCCTGCTGCTTTACCCTGCTAGTGCCTCCCTGCCCCTGCATGTCTGAGAAGCGCACATACTTGTTCTTTCTTCTGCTCCTGTTTGCTTCAGGCGGAATCTGACACCAACACCTGCCATAGTGGAAAATGTCTTTGTTGCCTTGCACTTTTGTCTGCATTGCTGCAGGGGAGCCAATGGGAGTTAAGTCCATTTACTTTTTTGTTGCCTAAGCACCATGGAATAGGATCTTGAGATGGGGCCGATAAGGAGCGGCACGTGCTGTGCTGGCCCTTTGAGTTAGCTCAGCTTAATAAGGGCCTCCCTTTCTAGGGAGGGCAGATTGCTGAGCTTGGGCCTCTGAATGGAACAGCTGGGGGAGGAAAAGGAAACAAAGGAGGGGAAACACAGAGTGCCCTGAACCTGGAGACTGGGGGTGCGGTTTAGGACCCGAAGAGCAGGCCGGCCGGCCACACGCCAGGTGTGACCTTTGCAGACTCCTTGGTTCTGCTTGTTTGTCTGGGCAATTTCCAGTGTGCTGATCGAATGGAAGGAAGCAGCCTGACAGCAGCATGCTGGCTGGATACACTCAGTGGTAGGCTGGGCTTAGGCACAGAGCACTTGAAGCACAACATTAACTCCTTGAGGCCCAGTTCACAGATGGATGCAACGCAAGAAACTTTAAATAATAACTTGCCAAACTAGAAGCTGAGCAGCTTGATGGCTGGTTATTGAGAACCATGTCATCTCATCTCCCCTGCGTTGCCTTATTTATTTATTTTGCTTCTTTTCCATTCTGCGAAATGATTACTTCAGGCTTAGCCTATGTTTGAATGGCGTATTTTAGAAAGCCAAAAGACTCCCTGTGACAAAAGAGTCATTTTTTTTTCACCAGCAGCTAACATTCATTACCAAGTAAGACATTACCCAGCTCTTCCTTATTGTTTTGATGATTTATAAATGTTATAACTAACTCTCTAAAAAGGTCACATAACGTACAGATTTAGATCTATCTCTGTGTGTGCCCGTCAGAAATCCTGAAATCGCTCCCAAGCATTGTAACCTTTCTGGTAACTGGTTGTTTATTTTACGGTTACATATGTATGTGTATGTATTGTCCCGTTTCTTTTCCCTGTAGTGATGAATAGTTAAGGGGGCTGGAGTGTATTATCTGAATAAAGTTCCAAGCTTCCATTACAAGAAGAAGGCCAAGTAATTAGAGTTCGTGCCAGACAGCTTGCAAGTGGAATTATAATATTTGTATGAAAGCCTTTATCTTTTGTGGTTATTACTTGCTCACTCTGCAGCTGCTGTCTCCCTATCAATCAAGCTGGTTTAGAGGGAGCTTCAAGGTTGATTGCATAGTTAAGGACTTGCCAGAAGAAAGTTGTGACTGATGGAATGCACGAACTCGGCGGCTAATGGAATGCTGTGGGTGATTGTGAGCACCTAGGTGTGGCTGTGCCTTCTTACACACTCTTGCCTGTTTGAACTGCACTGCTTTTCACATGTGCGGGAGCTGTATTGTTAAGTACTTGCATGAATATTGCTTGAGCTTGCCCATTTGGCGAAAATTGTATTATTTTGACCATCTGCCATTCTGCTTAGCTGCTGGAATGTAAAATACAAGACCTCCCTCCCCCACTTTCTTTCCTAGGGAAAACACAGCAATTTTCCACTTTTAATCCCAAACTAACAGCTCCGCAGTTTTTTCACAGAAAATGCCTTTGCATATTAAATCACTTTTTTTTTCTTCTTCTTTTTAATGTCTTGGAACTGCTTCCCCACCCCCACCCCTTGTTAGTCAGTTGATCTAAAATGTAAAACTGGTAAGTGGAAGGTATTGTCTGACATACAAATATCAGGTTTGTGCACTGGCTTTCAAATGAGCAATAAATGCTTAATATTAATAGTAATTGACCCATCATTTCAGTTGTTTTTTTTTAACATGATGCTGTGAATTCATTAAAAAAGTTGGATTTAGCTATCACAAGCCTGACTCTCATCATGAGGCCTGTGCTTTAAACTTTGTAGAAAGGAAATAAGCAAAGATGCTGACCATGGATCCTGTTGAATTTCCAGACTTTGGTTCTGAGAAATACTAAGATAACTTCAGGCTGCTAGCGCACAGCAGTGGTACTGAATTTCCAAACCTGCTCAGATAATCTGCTGGTTGCTAATTTTTTTTTTATGGAGTTGATTTGTAAGACGACAACTTCTAAGTCACAGTTTTAAGAAATTTACTTTGTGTAAAATGTCCTACAGCCTTCAGTGAGGAATTACAGCCAAGAGGCCATGGTTAGAATGCCAGCTGTAATCTTTAGACTGTGCCCCTTCTGTCGTACCTCAGAACAAAAGGATTCAGATGAAAAAACTTTAAAAATGTATACGGCTAGAGTCAGTAGTATGCAGCGCCTGCTTTGCGCAGTTCCAGCAATGCAGAGCACCCTGTAAGCTGCACATACAGCTCCTTTACCTCTCCCAAGTTTTACAGAGCATTCATAATATACAAGGGAATTTGGCCCATTAGTTTTATGGTCATTACAAGCAGGGAGGGGAGAAGGAAACTAGTTATCCTTAAGTATCAGGTTTGAAATACCTAACATCACTGGAGTGGTGTGTTGAAATCCCAGCAGAGTCAACTTAGTCATTCGTCCTTCCAAGGTAAATTTGACTACCATGCAAGTTACCACATGCAAGCCTTTCCATTAAGACCATACAAGCAGATGTCCCATCTGGGCCTTATGGACATGAAAGATCTCCTAACAGTTTTCCTAAGGGCTACCCAATTGTGTCCAAGACAAATTTTCCCCTCCTTGCACTGTTGTATAATTAGTTGGTTATTAGCCTCCAGTCTAGAGACATCTGCATTTCCACAGTGGCATTTGTCTGTGGTATCTGCAACCTTTTTGGGTCATTCAGGAGGTATACTTGTGTAACTATACAAAATATTATCGTGACACAAAAAAAAAAATGGAGCAATTGGAAGATATAGCAGGGTACTAAATCAGAAATGGGTTCACACTGTGAAATGAGCTCCAGTTTAGAGTTCATGCTCCTGAAGAAGGGTGACTGGACCCAAAAGCTTGCTAAGAACTTTTTTCCAACTACTCTGTTGATCTAATAAAAGATATCACATCTACTCAAAGAACCTTGCCTGCAAATACTTGTAAGCGTAAGAGATACCTCCAAAATGTTGATCTAGAGTTTGGATTCTGAATCTTCCTCCTCCATCCCCAAGAGTTTTGGAGGTGTTTGGATATGAAGCTTTGCTTCAGTCCCATGTCTAATAAAAATATTTATATTGAGGATTTACAGGGAGAACTGGTAACATTGTTTAAAAATACAGTACCAGGAGAGAGCTGATGAAATGGCATTCACACTTAGAACTGTCTTGGGACAAGTCGAAACCACAGTAGCAACAACGGTGCTGTGTTGCAGCATGCATTTTTGTATTCCTCAGAGCGTGATTATAATTGCATTGGGGAAAGACAAGAGTTGCATACACACACACTTTAATTTTATTCATTTACTTTTGATTTTAATAGCTGTATCCTCATCTGTTCTCCTGACAAACCATTGCATTCTGACCTCGAGTCATAATCCCCTTTGGGGAATAATTGAGTTATAACTTAGTGTAAAACAACAGTGTGTAAATACATGTGGACTAGACTGTAGCCACTGGGGATTTTGACGAACTTTGCATAAAGTTCTTAAACTGTGTTTTGCGATACAACAGAAATGATGGAGATTTCATTTACTGCCTTCCCAGTGGAATTGCTGCTTTCCCTCCCTCCCTCCCCCTTTGTTAGTCAAGGGCTAAGAGATATTATAATTTCATCAAAAATATTCACTCTAAGGAAACTGATTTTCAATCCCCACAACAGAGATTAAGTACTGCAAATACATACGCAAAACCTGGCAACTTTTAATAATAGATGAGTGAGAGAGCTTTTTTTGTGCTAAATGGTGCCTTCAGGCAGAGTCCTGCACCAGGAAGGGATGTGGTATAAGCTACACCAATGCAAAAGTGGCCCAGAAGGATAAGGGACCTAAGACACCTTTCTGAGAGCCACAAGTCCTCTTTTTCATCCTTGCTATGACTGCAAGGAGGGGTAAGGAATAACTGCAGTACCAGCTCCATTCCCTCTACCCTTCTAAGGTTGGGAAGTAACTGGTACCTGCAGTATCAGCTTACTCCTGTCCACTGGGCCTCTGGATCTGGGTAGCCTGTATGGGGCTATCAAGAAGTTTCTTACTCCCCTGCATGGTGGCTTCCTTCCTTTTTTTTTCTTTTGCCTTGTTTGCATT